GCCAATATATGGGGCAGCACAAAAATATTGAGCATTTATACCGAATAAATTTCACATCGATTTTTTGTTCGCTAAAAATTTACAGCACGTAGGTAGTTGTTTATATTATTTATGTCTAAGGTAAAAATAACTAGCCAATATACTATTTTTCACTATAGTTATGGTAGTAACATTTTTTTGATATTAAATTAGAACTATGTAAATTTTTAATGAACTCTTAGTAAATTGAATGTAGCTTTTTTGTAATTATGATTTTAATATAGTTTTTACAGTGACATTAATTAAGATATTAAATCTAATCCTTTCCAATAAGGTATAAATTTAGACTTGCTGCTCATTCTACCTTTCACAATAATTAATAGTTCGAATACTACACATATGTATTTATTGTAATTCGTTAAGCGCCAAATTTAATGTTACCGCTAAATTTATATAAAAAATAAAGCACTTAAGTATCAGTATATTATTTTAAAAAGCATATGCTTTTAATTAAACAGAAAGTATCTAAATGCCATACAAACTATTATACCTACTGACTAGTCTTTAAAGTAAATCACGGTTGCCTCAACAACAAAACAAAGAAATATCAGTTTGTGTAAATTATTGGCCGTTTAAAGTTGAGAAAGATTAAATTCTAAAACTGAAATTAATAAGACGTTTGGGACTGATCGATTAGAAGCTATGGTAGATCTATGTAAGTAAGCCATTTATATTTTTCTTAAAAAAATAACGTTAGTGTCATGATCGTAATATGCTTCCGCATAAACTTTTCCCATTATGACATTACAAATAAATCACATGTTCAATTAGTAAAACTGCAAAAAAAGTAGAAAAATATAAATACATATTTCTAAAGTTGCGTTTAGTTTTGTAATATGTATAATGTTACGGGTTTCGTACCAAAAAAGGTATGCTATCAACTTGTAATAATGATGCAAAATATACGATAACAATACCATCCTTTCAACATATCTGAAAAATCTAAAACAATTCACGCATAAAGAAGTTCACAAATACTACTTTTTGACCCTATTTATTTCTCAGTATTATGAGATGAAATAAAATGTTTAATGCAATAATGCAATAAATTAAAGAAAATTATAATTTGACAACAAATATTTTTGATGAAGTAGGAAACATTACCGCTGTTTTATATTTTTATATGTATTCTTTTTCTTTTAAAGTTCCGGAGAATAAATTAACAGCATAAAATTTTATATATACACAATTTTTATTAAATAAAATATCAAATAAACAGTACACTTCCAAAATAGACGAGCTACATACCCTTTTCCCACAGAGTGTATCAGGAAGAACAACATATTTTTGCAAGACAGTATACTGACCAATCTGAGTAAAAGGTTCAGATAAATTTATCCGGAAACGCTTTAGAATTTAAAATTCGGACAAAAAATACTTTTATAACACCACAAAATACGTTTTTACTCAATTCTACGTAACTTGCTAAAATATTGTAGTAAATTAGCACAAATTAGTTGGTAAAACAAAAATAATAGGAGCTTACTTGAATACCTGCAACGGGGGCGGCGCCACTAAGTGTGCGAGGGTAATTTTTTTGAAAAAAAGTGCATGAAATTGATGAAAAGCTATGATATTCTGAAAATACAATAAAAACTCGTACGTGTACTATACAGTAAGCTGACCATTACTATTGCGTTAATTTAAATAAATATTTATTGTACATTCAGATTATCATATTAATTTTTCATCAATTTAAAGCATACTTTTTTTAAGAGACTACCCTCACAAACCCAGTTGCAGATATTTGAAAAACTCATAGTCAGCTAAATGATGCATATCTACTATAATATGTAACCTCTTAAAGTTGTGTAAAACGGTTTTTTGAAGTACAAAATTTTTTTTGTCTAATATTTAAAACGTTGCATCTCTGAAACGAAGCATTTATCTGAACTTTTTACTCAAAACAATCAGTACTAACATCTCCCAAAACATACGCTATTCTTCCTGAGACACCCAGTATACATATGTACCCGTTAAACTTTTTTGAAGGCACATAAATACGTTCACAATACACACCTTAACTGTTAAGTAAATTACTGTATTAATTCAAAAAAGTACAAAAAT